TGCTTCTGTGCTTTAAAATTATACCACTCTTCTTCCAGATCTGAACATAGTGAGACAAGTACATTGGCAAAATAATTATTTATCACTCTTAAAAGCCTCCTTTAAAATTTCTATCATTCAAATATTGGCTGGGCAAAATGTGAAGTACAGACAAGCATATTTTATGTACTTGATAGTCTAGCTTTTATGTTGATGAGAACTTACTAAACACCAGTAAAGGGAATAGCAGTTATCAGCCCTAATTCACAACCATGAATTTTTTAGGCCAGATGCCCTTGCAAAATCACAGCCAAGCGTTAATGACAAGCCCAGTCCTTCTTCCACTGTAGTCACTAGTTATTTTGTATGGCTTCCAATGAGACCAGGTTGGCTCCAACACTCTGACCGAGCACACTGCTCTCAGTGAGACACTCATTGCCACAGAGAGCAGGATAGGGACCTCTAATATCACTCAAAGAAAGGAAAATAAAAAAAAAGACACTGTACTTTGCCTCAGGCTTTTTTTTTTTTGGATGTATAGCATTCTTCCTTTAAATTATTTTTTCAGTTGATCAAAAATAATGGGACTGGAAAACTGGCTAAATACACTAAGAGATCTCTTTTAAAAGACATCTAAAATCTCCTCAAAATCCGTTCAGTGAATTTTGCCATCACTTATACCTGTACAAAAACAGAGTAGCTTGGAGCTCCTCCTGGTAGCAGAGGACAAAGAAGAAGGGTTGGTGCCCAGGTTTTGATCTCTGTTCCCAGACCCATCCATCAGAAGACAAGTCTGCAAGAGAGCTGAACGGGCAGGACCCCAGTCAAGAGCTTTACACTGCAAAAAATCTTTGTCAGGCAAATACATACTTCTGTCTTTAAAGAGATTCAGGTGAAGAAAATGTAAGCCCAGGTATAAACATATGGAAACTGAGGTTTACTTCTTCTATCTATACACTTGAAAAGAACATTAAAAGGGCAAAAACATCCTATCGTGTCAATGTCTTCCTCTACTTCCTAAAGCTGACATTATCATCTCATTGGTTGTCACACAGCTCCTGAGAGAAGTAAATCACTTGATTTTCCTGTATAATCACAGCATAGGATTTTATTTCTGTTGTTACTGGAATCGAAACTGTACATAGCCTGTTCTCTGTCTTGCTCCTTTTAAGTTACTTACAGACCTGGATGTGGCAAGCTTCAAAACACCCCAAAAGCACTACAGAAGCTAAATCTGTGCTTACTTTAAGTTTCAAGCAACCTGCTTGTTAGCAGCTCTTCTCAACAAAGGCAGGAAAACTTCTAGTTTTAAATTTCTCTTCAAATTAAGGCAATGAAGACTGAAGACCACAAAACTGTTGCCATTGCTTTCCAGCACATAAACTTAACAATTTGTGCTGCTGCATGCAACTTTCAGTCAAAGTTTCTCTGATTTATAAGCAAACAGATGGTTCACATGATAGTCCTCAGTAAATTACAACAGTTAGAAAGACAGCTACATTTTGAGAGTGACAGAGTAGCTGAGCTACAGATGGGTTTATAGATGACCCTTCCAATTTTTAATAATCTCCATAACTTATGTGCAAGTAAAGAAATGCAAGAATTCCTAATGCACCTTCTTGACTAAGAACAAATAACTTATTTACACAGGCAATACTTCATGGTCCAGTAAACTTCTTAATTAAAGGCAGCAAGGTGCTCCTGTTCCATGCAACTGGCATGGAAAATACTGTTTAGTGCACAATATGTTCAGCTGGGAGTTTAAGATGCTCTGATCACTCCTCGAAAAGAGAATGCATCTATCTCATTTTTTTAAAAAAAGACTGCAAGGGTGCAAACACTGCTACCACCAGTTACTATTCATTAATCTCCAGCTAAACTTTAGGCTCATGCAGTAACAAGGTTACGTTTATTTGCAAGCTCTGATGCTTAGAACTAGGCTCCTAATCCAAAAGGCACTACAAACTGAGTATTACTGAGCCAGGACTAGGATGGGGAAACAACAGGAACAGAGACCCTTGTTATATGGATTTGGGGAGTCACTCTTGAACGGGTAAGGGGAAAGGAAAGGGAGCCTGGAGGGTGCTTTAAGAAACCATTTCATGTCAGTGATTTTAATGGCCACTTCTCCGCCATGAGACACAACCACTTTGGACCAATCCTTCTGCTAACATTTTTGAAGGGACTCCCAGAAAGGTGCTTTTGCTGGGTTGTCATCAATTGCATGCCACAGTACAACAGATTCAGTTCTTCTTGGTTGCAGTTTCAGTTGCAATGAGCTACCTTCCAAAAGAAGCACAGCTAAATGCAACCACTCTGTCCAGAAAGTAACGAAGGGGGCATTAGTACCTACTAGAGCTCTTCATGGCACAAATTACAGAAGCTCAGAGGTTCCCACACAGCCAGTCATGGGATGACATTCGAGGGCTTTTCCTCCTCCCTAAAACTTGGTCTTCCCTTCCTGTCAAATTAATATGAAACAGTAATACACTTTTAAGTGGAAAGACAAAACTATCTTTAAACCAGAAGGCACAGCTCCTAGGAAAGCAAGCCTGTGCGCACTTTCAGTTGCCATCTTCCTGGGACTTTAAGAGATGCAGCAGAGCAGAGGCACCAGTAACAAATTCAGACTTTCCAGAATTATCACGATTCGTGTTTTAGAGATATTTTGGCAGGGATTGCCCAGCTCTGCCCACAGCAGGGCAGCGTGGGGAGCAGCACCGCAGAGCCACATGAGTGGGATAACGCACTCCATGGAGGTCACGGGACTGCAGCCACTTACACAAAAAGTGATTCTTCCCCTGTGATTTCCACACAGCACCAACGCCCCTTCATCTACCGCACAGAATGACAGTGAAATTAATTTTCTTTTAAATGAAACTCTTCTATAAATAACCAGCATCTGAAAGTCTTTTAAGCTTTATATAAAAATATTATCTATTACCGTATACAACTCTTAGGTTGTTTAATTAAATGTATGAAAAATATTATATGTCAGCTTATTTCGGGGATGCTCTTTACTGTTATTTGTCATATTGTTTCTGTTATACTTTGCATATTTAAAGCCACATTATGCACTTCTGAAAACTCAGAGGAGATTACTGTGGAATTAGTATAGATGTTCATCTGTACTACTGAGTGCTGAGTTTGGCACTTGATTTCAGCAATATTCATCAAGTTCAGGAAGCACTAGTATGCTTCCCTCCAACAGAAAACTGGGTCATACTACTGTTCTTCAAAAAAATATAGCATTGATTATTTAATAATATTTTTAAATATTCTGTAACTATCATCCTTTGATAGACTGCCACTCTCTCATTTGCTTACAAGAGGCCGAATTCACACATAGCTCAAGAAAGCAGAAGTTGACTGAGATCAATAGGATTGCCCCTGTTGCCCCCAGCCGAACAGGAATTCCAGCATTATTGTGAGCAACCTGAAAGCCAGCAGAGGCTATTCGAGTTTAACTCCACTCAGAAGTCAGAGAAACTACGCACATGGTTTATGTAACTATATAGTTAATACAGTTTCCAGGACTCATCCGCTGAAGCCAGCAGGGATGCTCCAACTCACTAGGCTGTAGATGGGACCTTGTGGCTTGCAACTAGATCCTTCTCCGGCTAACAGCAAAAATAATCATGGAGGGATAATCTAAGGAACACAGACAAAGGCCTTACTTCTTGCATTCATTATATTGTCAATGGTGTGGAAACTAGTTTTATAACCTCAAGAAGGGGACAGGCGCCTTTTGTCCCCCCTGCCGTATTAAAATGTAGATCAATATGATAATGTGTAAACAGTAAACTCCCCACTAGCAAGAAGTGGTGCTCAGTTCACTTAGTAATCAAATATTATTTCCAGCAATCTACCTACAGAAAAAGAAATGTAAGTAGCAATTTGTCAGTCTATTTATCAAACCGAGTGCTGCACCTTTTCCACACATTTTACGTTACAAAGTGTACGACATGTAAGGTTCTGCAATTTTCTTCTAATTCAGGGATGAAAACATTTATAGATATGAACATTTACTCATTAACTTTTCTTCCTAAATGATTATGCTTGTTCAAATCAATTCCTAGCCATCTTACAGAGGTCACAACCTTCAATAATTAAATCAGATATTGTATTGGATGTTGTGTTGATTATGCTACAAGTTCCAATTTCTACAACACCACGGAAATGCTGAGATAAAGGGATGTTAACTTTATTTAATTAGCTATCTGCCATTGTTGTCAAAATGGAAGGTTGGGATCTGACTCAAATTAACACTTTGGATCAGGAAACAAGATAGATGAAGGATCTGAGAAGGAACCTGGAAACTCTCTATGATTGTTTAAGTTCTTTTAAAGCTGCTCAGGACAAACAGGATTGCAGTAGAAAGAGCAAAAGTCACTGACAGTCAATGAAGTGCTGCTATGAAAATGTTATTTCAATCACACTTGGGTTCTTTCTCATTTTCAGTTGTTAACATCCTTGCCACTTTTGTCAAGCTGTCTCTCCTAGCAGCATTGAATTTTAACTGCACATAATTTTAAAACACAACATGAAATAGGACTGAGCGCATAATGTGGGTTTATTGTGCCAGCTAAGAACAGATCAGACCTTTGGGCCAAGGCATCACCTCTCTGCTCTCTGCAGAAAAGGAATAACTAGTTAAACACAAGTTGGATTTCACAACTGCCTGCCATCCCTCTGTCTCGGAAATATTGGGTCTCTCACTCGAGGGTTGTTCATGATTTATCTCAAAAGGAGACAAAAAGACAATGTGAAATCTCAGAGGTCCTGGAAGCATTTTAACTGTTGCTTACACAAACTAAACACACAGATATCAACCTTGCAACTGCCCAGAGGATCTGGTATCTGGATGAAGTATTCAAAGAACACCCACCGCCTCACTCCCTAAATTACATTTGTAAAGAGTAGTCAAAGTAATTTATCTGATAACCGTGCCACCCTGCCACTTCATGGTATCTTACAGTTAGGGCTACAGAAATGTGCTTATTCCTTTCCTGACGACTTACTGGTCTTGACCGGATTTCTTTGGCGTAGAGAGGTTTCAAGAATTCTGAATCTCCTTCAAGCTTCAGACCCTTTTCCGTGATTCTCAGGTTCCCCATTCCATCCTAAAACACAGACAAAAAGAAACAACCCCATTAGTTACAATTACTACATTCACCAGGCTGCCAATAGTTGATTTTTCTTTTTTTTTTCCCAGAGAGGAGAACATGTAAAGCACTGGGAGGCACTAGAGAATGCAATTACTTGCCTTATCCTTTTAGCTCTGTTTCTGTGAAAAAAAATTTCTATTCAGAGCAATCTGCAATGCCCCCCAGTAAACCATTTACACAGATGAAAGATGTTCTTTTAAGCTAGTCATCTCTACTCAAAGAGATGCAGCGATGCTCTGTGTTAACAGGAAACAATTCACTGTAATATTCACCAGCTGCCTGTATATTAATATACCTTCTCATTCATAGCAAATCCATATAAAGACTATGTGATTAATTCTACTGAACTCCATATAGAGAATATGTGATTAATTCCACTGAACCGACACAGTAAGGTTTGGCTATGAAGGATACTGCAATAAAATGTGGTAGGGAACTTGACCCCTATGACTTGTGGAAATCTCTGCAAAACATGGACTCTTTGATGGGGTTTCTTTAGGGCTATCAGCCCTTACAGCAAAAAGATGTGGAAACCTGTTGATTAGTTTCAAGTGTCACAGTCTTTCCTGCACTTTCAATATTGTTTAGATGACACACAGCTTTTGTGGAACGTACATTTATGCAAATGTTTGCTCTGGGAGAAGCAATTACACAATAGGAATATCTTTCCAACAGACTGCTCTCCTGTCTTGGGCTAACTCTTGGCTTTTCTGTCCCACAATGATGAGCTCCGCTCCTTGCACAGCCCAAGCACATCCCAGCAATCTGAACCTCTATATCCAAATGTTTGAGTCTCCTGCCCTTCAAACAACCACCTCAAAGACCATTGGCCAGGCATTAAGTGACTGATATAACATGCATTTCTGTCCTCTCCTCATTCTGATTCCATAGTTGCAGGTATCAGTCCTCACCCTCTCTCCAGCTCCCCCAGTCCCCACAGCTCCTTGCTCTTCCATGGCAAAAAACTTCTTGACAAATGGCATGAAGTGTTGGCTGCAGGCCTCCAGCAGATGACTGCAAATAGTCCATTTTCTTTAGAAATTGTTTAGTTATGTGTGTCCAAGGTGTAATGAAACATCTGACAAACCGTAATAGCAAACAAAATATATGTCAAAATTTTATATGAGTTTTTCTTTTGTTTTTTATGCAATAAGACAGGTGTACGGATGCATGGGCAGAGAGCAGAATTGGACCAAACTATATTTCACCTTTAACTTGTGAAAGTTGTAACTTTTGCCAAGATGAGGGATTTAGGTTCATTTAAGCTATAACTGCTTAGAGAGGTGTCTGTGTGTAAGAGACACGGCGTAGGGAGGGAATTGCAAAGGTAAATGTACAATCAAAACCACATCAAATGCAAGGTATTGTTTCTCAGATTCAACGTGATTGTCAAAGTCTGCAAGGATTGAGGTAAGTTGTGGTTTTTTCCTGAGAAAAAGATGATCTGAAGAATACCTTTTAAGCATAAATTTGACTGAGATCACTAGGATTTGAGACTGACACTGGCCAAAGCTATGTCTCCACATGTATAAATTAAGATTAGGAAATGACCAAGGTTGGGTAGTCAAGAACAGGCTTGATAATCCTCAAACATACCTCTTAAGGATTCTTTCTACCTGCATTTTTTTTCCATTTCTCCAGGCTAGAGAAGCAGGATGATGATGCTACATGATGCCTCGGGCCTTCAAGATAAGGCAGGATACAATAATCACAAAACCTACAATAGCTGGAACTCAGTGCGGGGAGGATGTTGCAATGAGGGACACACACATCAGTACTTACAGCAAAAGGATTCATGTTACAGTGAGGGAGATGCTGAAACCAAGGGTCACGCAGGCCACAGGATGGCAGGAGTAGTAATTTGGAGGAATTACTGATCTATAAATATGGACATGCCATACTGACTCCATGGCATGTCATCATGCAATTTAGGGACTCATTGAGAGGAACTGGGCTGCCGCCTTCTCAATTGCTACTAGGCATGTCCTTAAACACTGAAGTCCAAATCAAAAGAGGCACATCAGCACCTAACTCACAGCTATTTCAGGGATCTTAGAGGAAAGGGGTATGTACTTGGGTAGAAGCCCTAAGAAGATCAAGGGAAGACTGAGAAAATCAGGAAAACCACACGTATTTGGATGTACGTCTTGCATGTTTTCTAATCCAGCTGCAAAAAATAAACAACATCTGTCTACTTTCTCTTCCCATTGCACCTGCACCTCCAGCGCTGCAGGAGGAATCACTGCCACTAAAGGTGAATGGCTCACCAAAACAGATTTGAATGAACTGTTGCCACAAGGCATGAATTTGGAGGGACAAAAATCGAAGACATAGCACAGCTAAGCAGTGAAACTGGTCACTTGCCAGAGGTTCTCCTGTTCCAAGAAGTATCACTCTCAGGGTGTACCCAGCCAAGGAAAGATCATTTTTGCCAGAGCATGGTGTCTTATGAACAAAGGCAGGCTCAGGAGTGCTGGGCAATAAAATGACTGCTGTCATCTCATTTTGAAATGAAAGCTGTAAGTAAACTTTAAAGAGAGACATATGCTGAAAACGCTATTGGTTGTTGAAGGGAGGGGAATGAGAGATGGGTCATAAAGTGCCTCTTGCTACATTCCTTGTCCCGGGTGTAAAATACTGGCTTATGAATTCTGGGTTGGTGGTGGCACAGAAGGCGTTCATTTATCTCAAGCAAAAGGATGAAGGAAAATGAGTGAAATATGATTATGCTCCAAAGAGCCCAGATTAAATTTTGATAGTGGTAT